AGACCCTGGAGCTGGAGGCGCTGGCACTGGAGGCGCTGGAGCTGGAGGAGCTGGAGCTGGAGGCACTGGAGCTGGAGGCGCTGGAGCTGGAAGCGCTGGCGCTGGAGGCGCTGGAGGTGGAGGAGCTCGAGCTGGAGGCACTGGAGCTAGAGGCGCTAGAGCTGGAGACCCTGGAGCTGGAGGTGCTGGCGCTCGGGGTGCTAGAGCTGGCGGTACAGGTGCTGGAGGCACTGTGCAGCGGCGACCGTTTTTCGTTCCGCCGCTAACGTCGTCTCTACCGCCACCTGGCTCGGTCCTTTGCCAGGTTCTTAGTCTCCCGTCTTCTACTGGCCTTACTCCTCCCATACTGTGTCCACCGCCTCACCAGTCGCAGCCACAGTTATAGCCATACTCTCCATTGCTTGCTCCTTCTCCTTACACTGAGCAGTCAGACTCTCTTGAAGAGCGTCGTGAGCCTGTGTCTCGTCCTGCCTCGCCTGTTCGCACTGTTCGCACTGGTCGTCGTGTTCCTCATTCGCGTCCTCCTCCTGTCCCCGGCACTCGCATTATGGCACTTCGCCCTTCCTCCTTTCCACTGCGATCTCCCATGCTGTCTCCTCCTGCGTCCTCTCTTCTTGACGGTCAGGACCCTGAGACTGACTTAGTTCGTGCTGCCAGTCCTACTGTCACACGTCTTCTAGCCACTGCTGTCACTTACCCTTTGTTTGAGTCCACTGCTACGTTTTCCCTAGTTGCTGAGCTTGTTGACTTTGCTGCCGCATTTCGTCTCGACTACGCCGCTAGTCTTGTTGCTGAGTCTGGGTCTGACTGTCCTCCGTCCATCGGGGGTGAGTGTGGTCTTGGCACGGACGTCCTTGAGGACAGGCAAGAGGATTTTGAGTCTCTTTCAACTGCTGTACCTCATCTCGTGGCCATGCTGCTTGCACCTGAGGGAGACCCGGATGCACCAGACATCCCGACCCCGTGCTCTTACGCAGAGGCGATTACGGGTCCATACTTCTCTCACTGGCAGACAGCCATGGACACAGAGATGGCATCCTGGAAGTCCACAGGCACCTACGTCGGCGCGGTTCCCACTCCTGGGGCGAACATAGTCGATGGCATGTGGATTTTCATTGTGAAGCGGCCGCCGGGTTCTCCGCCTGTCTTCAAGACCCGTTACGTTGCACGTCGCTTTGGTCAGCGACAGGGAGTTGACTTCTCCCCTACCCCGAAGATGACCACTCTTCGGGTGCTGCTGCACGTCGCCGCTCGGCGTCACTATGAGCTTCACTCTCTCGACTTCAGCACAGCTTTCTTACAGGGAGCCTGCACGAGGAGATCTGGCTGCGCTGCCCACCTGGTTTCATTGGGTCGTTTCCTGCCGGTCCTTAGTGGAGCCTCCGGCGGCCACTCTACGGTCTCCGCCAGGCGCCTCGCGAGTGGCACAACACACTGAGGACGACGCTTGCGACTCTTGGGTTTGCTCCTTCGACTGCTGACCCGTCGCTGTTTCTGCGCACCGACACTTCAATGCCGCCATTCTACATCATCGTGTACGTCGACGACTTGGTTTTTGCCACTGCTGACACTGAGGCACTGGCCCTTGTGAAGTCGGAGCTGCAGAAGAGACACACCTGCACTGACCTGGGTGAGCTACGTCGCTATCTTGGTTTGCAGATCACCCGGGACAGAGCACGGCGCACCATCACCCTGACTCAGTCACACATGGTGCACCAAGTCCTTCAGCGCTTCGGCTTCCGGTACTCCTCGCCACAGTCCACTCCTTTGCCTACCGGTCACTCGCTCTCAGCTCCACCTTCGGACGAGTCCGTAGAGCTGAGTGGCCCATATCCAGAGCTTGTGGGCTGCCTCATGTACCTGATGACCTGCACTCGACCTGACCTTGCCTACCTTTTTTGCATCCTGGCACGCTACGTTGCGCCCGGGAGACACCGATCAGAGCACTGGGAGGCAGTTAAGAGCGTGTTGCGCTACTTGTGCAGTACATCGGGCGTGGGGCTCGTGCTTGGAGGACGGGGTCCAGTTGTCCTCACTGGACACACAGAGTCTTCTTGGGTTGACGACTTGGCTACGCAGCGGTCGTCACAGGGTTACACTTTCAGCCTTGGCTCCAGCTCTGTTTCTTGGCGGTCTACCCGCTCGTCTTTTGTTCTCAGTTCCAGTTGTGAGGCTGAGATCTTCGTAGGGGCCATGGCTGCACAGGAGTTACGCTGGCTCACCTACCTGCGGACCGACTTGGGAGAGCGGCCTCGTTCTTCTCCAATTCTGTACGTAGACAACAAGGCCATGATTGCTTTGTGAAAGGAGGACAGACTAGAGCACAGAACGAAGCACATCGATCTGCGTTACTTCCTTGCTCGAGAGCTGCAGCAGCGTGGTCAGCTTCGTCTTACTTACGTGGCCACTCGGGCCAACACTGCTGATATATTCACCAAGGCACTTCAGTCTGGTGATCATCAGCGTTTCTGTACTGTTTTAGGCCTTGTGCCTACTTTGCCTCACTTGCTCACTGCGTGACTTTGCTTGTATTGTGATCTATATACATATACATGCATGCTTACCCCTGCTAGGTTATGATCACTGTAATGTTTGTTCTCGTTTATATAATTCTGCATGTGAACTGGCCTTGTGGCCATTTGCTTGTGCTCAGAGTGTGTGGTGACTTTGTGATCCACCCTGAGCTTGCTTTGCTTTTTCTTGACTGGTCTTGTGACCACTTGTTCTCCCCCACTTTGCCTATGGGGGTGTATCAAACATATATGTTGCATGTTGTGTAGTCTGTAGTGGGGTAGCCCATATGGGGTACAACACAACTTAGGGTTAGTACTTGTACCCATCCTGCTGCTAGTTCAACACATTCTCGTTCGTTACTTTGACACAACTTTCTTCTCAATGCAATCATTCCTTCGTCTAGTTTCTAACATTTCAGACCTACATGTTTGCTTTCATCTGATTTCTAAGACAATGATTTTTATTTCGTCTGATCCATAAGACTAGTTATTTTAGCTCGTCTGATTTTTCAGAGCAGGAGTTATACTTCATCTGAAATTTCAGATAGCGGGATTTTTTTCGTCTGACACCATCCCCCATTCTCCTCCCCCCCCCCCCCCCCCCCCTTACCATTCTCCCCACCACTCTCCTTCCCGAATCCCTCACTCCTCTACACCTGCCCAACCACCCCCTCAAGCCCTTCGTTCTTGTTCAAGCCCTACTCCTACCCTTCTCCCCGTGAAATCCCGTGGCCCGTTCTCCTCGCCCAGCCCCCTTCCCCATATCCATCCCCCGTATCTCCCAGCCCAGCCCCCGTCCCCATAGGTCCATCCGTCCCCCCTGGTCCCTTGCATCGCATGCATCTCGCATCTACTGTATATTTCTGTACGGTCCTTCTTGCCACGTGTGTCCCATCCCAACACATCCCTCCCGTCGCCTCCCTCCCAACTTGTCACTCGCCTGTCAGCAAGCACACTGTCAGTGCCGCACCACCGCCTCCGTCATAAGCTTCGGAAAAAATAGAGTTGAATCATGCTCGACAAGTGTTTTAGTTAAATCAGACTAAGCAAAATATATCGTCTGAAAAATCAGACACAGCTCCAACTTTCATCTGAAAAATCAGACCGAAAAAATTGGCCCGTCTGAACTGAACGTCAGACGAGACGATTTTTTCATTTACATTTTCAGACGGGCCTAAATCCTGTTGAGAGATATAGGTCTCTTAGCATTTCTGAAATTCGCAGTTAGACTATACAGTAGTGAAACAGTACAATAGTGGGTCCCGAACTTGATGACGTCAGCATTCGGATTCAGCTGACTAGTCAAAGTAACTCTAGGCCTAGGTCAACAAACAGCCACTTTCATTAGTGTCTACAGGTCAACACCCCTAGAGTGACGAATAGATACATTCGGCTACAGTATACGAACATGTACTTTTACTAGGACTATAAAATCTCTGTAAAACTTACAACTTCATAACTTTAAACTTTAATAACTTTTATACAAGCTTGACTCCACACAAGTTGGACAAGCCACAAGTCTTCCACTGCCAATACTTAGTCTTCAATCCAAGATACCGTACTACGATCCTGAAAAGGGCTTCGTCCCTTAACCGATTCTACGGGTTTCCAACCCCTTCCCCATAGGTCCCTCCGTCCCCCCTGGTCCCTTGCATCGCATGCATCTCGTCTCGCATTTACTGTATATTTCTGTACGGTCCCTCTTGCCACGTGCGTCCCATCCCAACACATCCCTCCCGTCGCCTCCCTCCCAACTTGTCACTCGCCTGTCAGCAAGCACACTGTCAGTGCCGCACCACCGCCTCTGTCATAAGCTTCGGAAAAAATAGAGTTGAATCACGCTCGACAAGTGTTTTAGTTAAATCAGACTAAGCAAAATATATCGTCTGAAAAATCAGACACAGCTCCAACTTTCATCTGAAAAATCAGACAGAAAAATTTGGCCCGTCTGAACTGAACGTCAGACGAGGCGATTTTTTCATTTACATTTTCAGACGGGCCTAAATCCTAGCAAGAGCCCTGAGCACAAGACAAGCCATGGGGCAAAACAAGTCCGCAAATGTCAAAACAGGCCAGAAGTTAGAAGCCATTCCGCAGCATAACACCTTCAGAAATGGTGTCTTTCTTCCGCCTTGCTGAGTCAAGCCGGAAAATGCGTTACCAGTGGAGTTGATAAGTATGAATACATAAATTAATACGTTAGCTCATGTTATGGTTGCGCCATCCCAGCAGCTGCATGGGCCATCCCAACAGCTGCAGCATGCATGGTGGGAGCCATTCCAGTGGACATCCCTACAGTCGGCATGCTGGTTAGGGCCATTCCTGGCTGTTGAGCAGCGGAAAAAGCAGAAGCAACAGAAGCGGTGGCGGCGGCGGCGGCAGCGGCGGCGGCGGCGGCAGCTAGTTACTCCCTGAGCCTCTCATTTTCTGCTCGCAGCTGAGCGTTCTCCTGCTCCAGCTGCTCTATCCTGTGAGCCCACATCCATGTCATGGCTGCGCCATCCCAGCAGCATGCATGGTGGGCATGCTGGTTAAGGCCATTCCTGTCTGTCGAGCAGCAGCTAGCTCCTCCTTGAGCCTCTCGTTCTCTGCTCTCAGCTGAGCGTTCTCCTGCTCCAACTGCTCTATGTGCGTAGTTTGCTCCGAGTCCTTCCTGTCACGGTCAGATGGGGACAGAGCAAAGAAGCAGAGTGAAAGGTGGGCAAGGGAGGGAGAGAGCCGGTTCTAGTGAGAGATGGCCCGTCACAGGGATAGTGGTCCAAAGGGCCAGACCCACCCCTTCTCGCCTGCTGTAGCTGCTGCTGTGCAGCTGCGGGACTGTCCGAAGACATGGCACTAGCGCTTCTCTTTACGCCTGCTAATGCAGCAGCAGTACCCCCAGAAACACCAGCGGCAGTGGCAGCAGCAGCAGCAGCACCGGAAATACCAGCGGCAGCAGCACCACCAGCAAATCCGGATCCTCCATTCGGATTCTGACTCGCCTCAGATCCAAATCCGCCATTCAGCAGACGAGCCTCCCCCAAGGGGGACAGGCTGGCAGGAGTGACGAGGAGACTGGGGGAGGCGAGAGGGCTATCTGGGGAAGGTACACCTGCTGCAGTGGGGGAAGGTGCACCTGGGGAGACTAAAGCTGGGGTGGGGTGGAGGAAAGAGGGGGGAATGGAGGAGGGGACTTGGACTCTGAGTGATCGGTTCTGCAATCGGTTTCTAATGCCTGAGGGATGGAGGAGGGTGTTGTTTTGTGTGGAAATATGCTGCTTCTGCTGCTGCTGCTGCTGCTGCTGCTGTTGGTGTTGGTGTTGTTGCTGGTGCTGTAGTTGCTGCTGCCACTGCTGCTGTTGCTTCTCGCTATGCTGCTGCCTTCGCACCTGCATTTCCTGCTCCTGCTGCTGCCATTGCTGTTGCCGTTGCTGCTCCTGCTGCTGCTGTTCCTGCACCTGCTGTATTCCCATCACCTGATGTTGTTTCTTCTGCTCAGGCTCCATCTCAAAACTCGACCCCCCCGCCACCCCAAAGGTAGGAGTGCCAGGAGCGGATCCCTGTCCCTTTGCACTGCACCCAACCACTGTGGAAGCACCACCTACCGAGCCTGACCCAGGCACACCGGCTCCCCCTATTGTAGGAGTAGTAGGGGCGGAACCAGTAGCACCCGAACCAGTAGGACCTGCACCAGGTAAACCTGTTCGCAGATTCGTTGGAGTGCTGGGGCGAGACGCTGATGGACATCTCGTTACAGGGTGAGACGCCACAGTGCCTTCGGAAGTGCACGGACCAGATGCCGGACCAGACGCCGAGCCTCCGGGGGACTGCAGACCTGCCGTAGCTTCCGGAGCACCTGAAGCGGCTGTGCCAGTGGCACCAGAAGCAGCAACAGCAGAAGCAGCAGCAGCAGCAAGAGCAGCACTATTACTACGACCAGCAGCAGCAGGAGAAGGAGCATTATCACGTGCAGCAGGAGAGGAGTTATTATACCCTTGTGGTGCACCACCACCACTAAAGGAGCGCCCAAGGGCAGGAAACCTGCCATCAGCAGCAGCGGCAGCGGCAGCTGCAGCAGCATCGGCTGCGGAAGCAGCAGAGCAGTTATACCCTTGCGTACCCCCACTGGCGGAACGACCAAGCGCAGGCAGCCTACCCCCACCAGCAGCAGCGGCAGCTGCAGCAACAGCAGCGGCGGCGGCAGCAGCAACACCGGGAGGAGGGTTAGAATGGGAGGCGCGGTGGGAGTGGGTGGTGTGCGGTTGGTGCGGATGGGGATGGTGAAAGGGGGCATCGGAATGGGAGGGAGTGGGGGTGGGGGAGGATGAGGAGGGGGAGAGAGGGGTGGAGAGGGGGGTGGTGCTGCTGGTGGGGCTTTGAGCTGCTTTCTTCCCCATGGTGCCTCGTTTGCGAGCTAAAGTTCTGCGGAACGGGGGCCAAGGGGAACGGTACAGGGGGTAGGGTGGTAATGAACCAAGGGGAATGGGTACGAAGCAGGGAGGAGGCGAGACGAGGTGAGAAAAAAAAAAAAAAAAAAAAAAAAAAAAAAAAACCAGACACACACACACACACACACACAGACACACAGACACACACAGACACACACAGACACACACAGACACACACACAGACACACACACACGAGGAAAGAAACACTAATTGCATTGCAGAGAGTAGAGGGAGGGGGATAAGCATACCCTTTGAGCAAGCTGACAACTGACGAGACGTTTCTTCCTCCAGGCGCCATAGCAGCCGTTACACTCCCATGCACACTCCCTTGCACATTGCCACTGCTAACCGAACCTGCGTTAAGCATGGGAGGCCCGGCCGCACCTGCGTTAAGCATGGGAGGCCCGGCTGCACCTGCGCTTGGGCCAGGGTGAGAACCTTCCGAGCCTGAGGCTGGGTAAGCAGCGGGCTTTGCCGAGCCTGAGGTTGGGAAGGCGGAGGGGCTTGCCAGGGCTGATGGGGAGGGTTGGGAAGGGGTGTTCGCCTGAGCATGGTCACGTTCCTGCTCTTGTCCCTGCCCCTGCTGCTGCTGCCCCTGCTGCTTCTGGAATTCGGGCTGATTGTGCCCCTCAGGTGTTGCCGCTGGTTGCTCTTGAGCTAGTACCGGTGGCCCCTCTTGTTGCTGCCTCACCTGCAGCAGTGCTTGCCTCTGTTGCTCCTGCTGCTGCTGTTGTTGTTCCTGCTGTTGCTGCTGCTGTTGCTCCTGCTGCTGTTGTTGAGGTTGCCCCTGTTGCTGTTGCTGCGGTTGCCCCTGCTGCTGCGCCTGCCCCTGCTGTCCCTGCTGCCCCTGCTTTTGCTGCTGCGCCTGCCCCTGCTGTCCCTGCTGCCCCTGCTTTTGCTGCTGCGCCTGCCCCTGCTGTCCCTGCTGCCCCTGCTTTTGCTGCTGCACCTGCCCCTGCTGGTGCTGTTGCATCTCTCCCTGCTGCCGCTGCTGTTGTTGCTGCGCCTGCTGCTGCGCACTCTGATTCTTTCTGTTCTTGGCGCCCAGTTTGTGCTGCAGCCGATGCACCAATGACGACGCACTTCTCCTCTGCGGTCCCTGCTGCTGCCCCTGCTGCTGCCCCTGCTGCTGCCCCTGCTGCTGTCCTTGCCGTTGCCCCTGCTGCTGTCCCTGTTGCTGCCCTTGCTGCGGCCCCTGCTGCTCCCCCTGTTGCTGCCCCTGCTGCCCCTGCTGCCCCAGCTGCTCCCCCTGCCGCAATCCACTTTCTCCAGGGTTTAACCCAGCTTGCTGATTCACAGGCCCTCCCCGTGCCATCTGCCTAGTCCTCACCCCACTAAGCATCACCCCACCTGCCCCCGCTCCTCTCCCCCCTCCCCCTGCGCCAGCCCCCCTGCCTCCAGGGGAAGGCGGAATGGGAGGCTTAGGGGGAGTCCCCCCGAGCCTGCCTCCTGCTGGTGCCAGTCCAGCACTCGCACCAGGAGCAGCAGCACTCACACCAGGAGCGCCAACAGCAGGAGCAGCAGCAACGGGAGCAGCAAAACCATTACCACTACCTCCAGCAGCAGAAGCAGCAGCAGCAGCAGCACCAGCAGCAGCAGCAGCAGCAGCAGCAGCAGCAGCAGGAGGAGGAAGAGGTATCTGAAGGTTTCCCAGGATGGCAGCAGCGAGGGCAGCAGCAGAGGAGGAGAGGGCAGCGAGGTCCACGTGGCCCAGCGGCCCCTGCAGGGCGGCGATGGTGGCCTGCAGGTCCGATGGGGACGCCAGTCGCTGCAGCAGCTCGTCCGTGGAGAGAGGCACGCCCTGGGCGCTCACCAGCCGCCTGTGGGGATGGAGGGGTTTAGGGTTAGGGCTTTGGGGTGTTCGTGAGCTTGAGTGAGAGCTGCAGCAGCTCGTCCGTGGAGAGAGGCACGCCCTGGGCGCTCACCAGCTGCCTGTGTTGTGGGGAGTAGGGATGGATACAAGGAGCGAGGGTTTTAGAGACACCAGCTGCTTCAGGATTGGAGAGTTGTTGCGGTTCAAGGTTTAGAAATTGGGGTTTAAAGTGGTGGTCACTGGTTACTCAGAGGACGCGAGACCCTCCCACCCCCCCCCCCCCCCCCCCCCGAACCTGGCACAATCCAGACCTGGCAACACCTCAGTCCTGGCACTTGCCTAAGTCATGGGATCTACATAAGTCCTGTCATTTACCTCAGTCCAGACACTTAAGTCCCGGCACTTACTGGATCTCTTGTGACTTGCTCCTAGTGATGGGCGCCTTGAGCCGCAACAGCCCCTGCAGACGATGGAGACAGAGAGAGAGAGCGACAAACGAACGGATTTTGACACACAATCTAACAGCCATTCATTCACAGCAGAGACGCTCATGAAAAACTGCGTTCTGCAGTAAAGTGCCATGGAGTGGAGTGCAGTGTAGTGCAGTGGACTGCAATGAAGTGCAGTGGAGTGCAGTGGAGTGCGGTGAAGAGCAGTGGAGTGCAGTGGAGTGGAGTACAGTGCAGTGCAGCGCAGTGGAGAGCAATGAAGTGCAGTGGAGAGCAATGAAGTGCAGTGGAGAGCAATGAAGTGCAGTGGAGTGCAGTGCAACACACTCTTGCCCACACTGGGTGCTTCACACTCTAGAACGCGCAATAACAATCACACGATGGGTGCAACACGCGCAGGGCTTGCATGGAATCGAGTACATAGCTCTCGCAGCAAGTAGTTGGGTCATACAGGAGAGTTAAGTGACTGCTGCAGATGCTGCTGCTGCTGGTGCTGCTGCTGTTGCTGCTGCTGCTGTTGTTGTTGATGCGGCTGTTGCTGCTGCTGCTGCTGTGGCGTGGCTAGCCCCGTTCTGCAGTTAAGAATCAGCAAAGAGACACCAGAGCAGGTGCATGGAAAATCATTTTTTTTGCTAGTTTGGCAGGCAGAGGACGAGGGGGATATGCAGCCAGGAGAGGGCAAAAATGGGCTGGAGAGGGAGGGAGGACGGAGGAAGAGTACGAAAACGACCATTGACCAGTGAAGAGCGTCCAATCAAGTAATTGCACCTGCGCTGTTGAGGGGGCATCATCTGCTGCTGGGGAGGTGTAGATTGCTGCTGCTGCTGCTGCTGCTGCTGCTGCTGCTGCTGCTGCTGCTGCTGCTGCTGCTGCTGCTGCTGCTGCTGCTGCTGCTGCTGCTGCTGCTGCTGCTGCTGCTGCTGCTGCTGCTGCTGCTGCTGCTGTTGCTGCTGCTGCTGCTGCTGTTGTTGCTGCTGCTGCTGCTGCTGTTGCTGCTGCGACCCTGACCCTACCCCCCGGGCCACGTCAGACCCACTCACTGACGGCATGGCAAAGAGAAACGACTCATTGGCGTCGTTCACTAGACCAACACCCCCTTGCCCCTGTCCTTGGTATTGCTGCACCTGCTGCTGCTGCTGCCCCTGCAGCCCCTGTCCCGGCTGCTGCTGCTGTTCTGGCAGCAGCCGTTGCTGCAACTGCTGCCGAGAGGTGGGCCGGGGGAGGTTCACTGGAGGAAAAGGGCGAGGCGGCAGAGCTTGCACTGGGGAGTTGGCTATCTGTGGCACGGCAGGCAGAAGAAATAGATACACAGATTTGAGGAGCTTCTGGGCCTCAAACACCTATGTATACCTAGAAAATGTACCACCTGAAAAAACTAAAAACTAAAAAACTTAAAAAAAAAAAAAAACATGAGTATTATCGTGCAGAACTTACGTCAGCGGATAGCCAGCTCTGAAAAAGCTCCTCGCTGTTGAGGCGGCTGAGCTTCGGTGAAGGGTACACCGCTGCAGCTGACATGCCTGCTCTTCCTCCCATGCCTGCTCCTCCTGCCGTGCCTGCCCCTCGTCCTGCTGTTGCTCCCCATACATTTAAACTCGGAAAAGGCAAGGGCGAACCCATGCCCGCACCCCCCTTCCCTTCTGCCCCCCCTCCGGTTTCCCCCGCCCCGGTTCCTCCCTGGGTCCCCAGCCCCGCACCCCCTTGCTCTCCAGTCCCAAAGCTTAACGGGGAAGACCCGTCTGCGCTGCTAAGGCCACCAACAGTACCAGTGCCGGCGGCGGAATCAGCAGCGGAACTATCAGCGGCACCAGCAGCGGAAGCAGTAGCAGCGGCACCAGCAGCGGCACCAGCAGCGAAACCAGCAGCGGCGGTGCTGTCTAGGAAAGAGCGGACGAAGAGGTCTTCAGGGGACATGGAGGTCGAAGGATCTCCTGAGGCTGAATGGAAAGGGAGTATACAGTAAGGGAGCGATTACTGTATTGTTCTAGTTTGGAAGGCGTTATAATGCCGATGCTAGACTTATTGGATTAATAAATGCCAGTATGGCGAATGCGGGGGTTAAAGGTCGTGGCATTGACGCTCTCAATGTCGTTCTAAATGCACAAGCACAATAAGTAAGAAAGCGAAAGAACCCTAACAAGGACCAGAACGAACTAGTAAAGGAGACTCAGTGGGTACTAACTAACGCACGCTGATCGAGCACTCTCACCGTTATTGACGGCTCCACAGTTACCAACATCCATGGCGCGAGCCTGCAGCTCGGTGGAGATGCTTCGCGTGATACGGCGGTTCGAGAGGTCCATTATTCAATGGTGCTCCTAGGCGTGCTAAGTCAGACTATGCCAGATACAAAATCATAAACACTTTTTAGCCAACTCTCAAGTTACTGCGGTTCGACAGTTGATAATTCAATCGTGCTGCGAGGCTTGCTAAGTCGGACCGAAAATCGAAACAACATCAGAAGAGCTAGCACCAGTAGAACCAGAACAGGGGTTTTTTAAAGCTGAAGTATACATTTGTCAGCAGGGTTCAGGGTTTAGGGAGTGAACCTCACAGGTTTGGGGCAACTTTTCAAATTTCCAAAGTTTTTGAACTCTTCCTTTCAAATGTATACCGCAGCTAAGAGCAATGCGGTACATTCGGTTCGGACATAAGTAAACGTCGATGCTAGTGGCGCTCCGTTATAGAGTGGAGCGATTACGGATAAATAGTGGAGCTTTAGTACTAGAAGTGAACACACAAAACGTATCCCTTGCACCTACTTGACCTAAAGAGTGTGAGGGCCAACCGTCAACTGTGGGAAACCTAAACTCTCAATTATTGATACCTCCTGGACCACTAGCTTCTAAAAATCACCGTTCCAACCTAGAGATTGGTTTTGGCAAGGCAAGAACTCCAGTCTCTAGAAAATGAAGATTTTCTCAATCCTAGAAATTGGATTTCTGAAGCTGGCCCAGTGACTGGCAGCGGCAGTTGCTCCCATATGATTCTTTCCTCCATCATCCAACTGCGCTGTCTTTTTTTCGGCAATGGAAAAGGAGGTTTGTACTGTTTGGGTTCGCTTGCCCAGCAGTGTGCTTCGCAATTATGCAAAAATCTGCTTTCTTCCCTGACAAGACAGCCTTATGTCAGAACTAGCCATTCTGACACCTTGTCTTCCGCCGAACCTGACAGAAAATCGAGGCTCGTGGAGAAGCCGATATAGAACCTCCGCCGAACTGTAACTAAGGCCATCATCTCTACATACTACATTAAAAGAAAACTTTTCAACCGTATAGGAAAACAATACCTTAAATCGTTTCTACATCGTCAAAGCTATGCACATATAATATTGCTTACCGCAGCACGATACCTAATGCAAAAATATATCTTACACAGCCTTTCTTCAGGTCCATATTTTGCTTTATAACCTTACTGTATCACCCCGGATATAAGCGCAGGTGCACTTATAATAAAGCATTGATTTTTAGGGGGGTGCTCTTAAAAATGAGTAACGGGCATAAGCGCATGCGGTTGTAATAATTAAAAAAATGAGATTTACTTAAAATTATACCAAAATAAAGCCAACTATAATGCGAATGCAGCCGACCATGCATCACGCGGGGTCGTGCATAAATTCGAGGCGAAAACAGCAACGCGCCTCGATTTCCCACCCCACACTTTCGTCTAGAAGCAACGCACCTGCCAGCGATGACGCGAATCTTGCTGTGCGGCCCAATCACATCGCCCTGCGCTGCGTGGCATGCGAATTTCATCCGAACCCTCTCGAAGGGTGCGGAAGATTCCCTGCCAGCGCAGCGATAATACTGCCACGCAGGGTCCTCTGCGGGTTCCCGCCTGCACCTGACAAGGACCCCGAGCCGCAAAATCAGCAGGGGTCCCCTCCGTTTCCCATTTCTGCAACCACTCTTTCTGTTTTTCATTCAGTTTCTCGCTCTAGCCTGCCTGGCTGGCGAAGCCATGGCGGAATTCTCTGGGACACACTTCCTTTTTAAGAAGAAACCGAGACGCGCGTGGGGATTAACCGACGACGGGCGGTATATCCGTGAACCTCCTGATCCTCCTTACCCACCCGTGCCTCCTTCTCCGCCTGCTCCCCCTGCTCCTCCTGCTCCACCTGCTCCTCTTGCCCCTCCTGCTCCTCCGAATCCGCCCGCTCCTTTTACGAGTACCGGTTCTCCTTACGCAGGCAAACGGCTCGTGCTCTAGCTCTTGTTACCAGCGACGTTCGACGACTGGTTGTCTGAGCCGGAGGCCGACAAGCCCGCCGATGTATATGTTGAAGCATCGCCGCCGGCACCACGTTGGGGATAGCGTGACGACTGCGCGTGGGACGAGTCGACTGTGGGCGCCGACGACGATGTACCAGCCGACGAGCAGCCACGTGGCGACGGCGAACCTGGTTGCGATGGTGAAACGGGTGGCGAGGCTGGCACAGAGGCGGGCGTGTCAGAATACTGAACGAGAAAATTGATGCATTGAGCAGAAAGTTGGGTACAAGTACTAACCCTAATTGGCTTGTACCCCTTATGGGCTACCCCACTACAGCCTACACAAATGTAAGCACTATAACATTTTGACACACCCCCATAGCCAAAGTGGGGGAGAACAAGTGGTCACAAGACCAGTCAAGAAAAGCAAAGCGAGCTCAGGGTGGATCACGTAGTCACCGCACATTTTGAGCACAAGCAAATGGCCACAAGGTCAGTTCACATGCACAGTTATATAAAATAGAACAAACAGTACAGTGATCATACCCTAGCAAGTGTAAGCATGCAGGTATATATATAGATCACAGTACAAGCAAAGTCACGCAGTGAGAAAGTGAGGCAAAGTAGGCACAAGGCCTAAAACAGTACAGAAATGCTGATGATCACCAGACTGAAGTGCCTTGGTGAATATATCAGCAGTGTTGGCCCGAGTGGCCACGTAAGCAAGACGAAACTGAACACGCTGTTGCAACTCTCGAGCAAGGAAGTAATGCAGAGCGATGTGCTTCGTTCTGTGCTCCAGTCTGTGCTCCCGACACAAGGCAATCATGGCCTTGTTGTTTACGTACAGAACTGGAGAAGAACGAGGCCGCTCTCCCAAGTCGGTCAGCAGGTAGGTGAGCCAGCGTAACTCCTGTGCAGCCATGGCTCCTGCGTAGATCTCAACCTCACAACTGGAACTGAGAACAATAGACAAGCGGGTAGACCGCCAAGAAACAGAGCTGCTAAAAGTGTAACCCTGTGACGGCCGCTGCGTAGCCAAGTCGTCAACCCAAGAAGCATCTGCGTGACCAGTGAGGACAACTCGAGCCCGTCCTCCAAGCACGAGCCCCATGCCCGACGTACTGCACAGGTAGCGCAACACCCTCTTAGCTGCATCCATGTGCTCCTTCCTGTGTCTGCCAGGAGCGACATAGCGTGCTAGAATGCTAAGAGGGTAGGCAAGGTCAGGTCGAGTGCAGGTCATCAGGTACATGAGGCGGCCCACAAGCTCTGGATACGGGCCACTCGGCTCTACGGACTCGTCCGAAAGTGGAGCTGAGAGCGAGTGACCGGTAGGCAGAGGAGTGGACTGTGGCGAGGAGTACGTGAAGCCGAAGCGCTGAACGACCTACTGCACCATGTGTGACTGAGTCAAGGTAATGGTGCGCTGTGCTCTGTCCCGGGTGATCCGCAAGCCAAGATAGCTTGTCAGCTCACCCAGGTCTGTGCACGTGTGTCTCTTCTGCAGCTCCGACTTCACGTGGGCGAGTGCCTCAGTGTCAGCAGTAGCAAAGACGAGGTCGTCTACGTACACGAGAACGTAGAACGGCGGCAGAGTGGTGTCGGTGCGTAGAAACAGCGACGGGTCAGCAGCGGAAGGAGCAAACCCAAGAGCAGCAAGAGTCGTCCTCAATGTGTCGTGCCACTCACGGGGTGCCTGGCGGAGACCGTAGACTGGCCGCCGGAGGCTCCACTGGGTACCAGCAGGAAACGACCCAGTGAAGCCAGGTGGGCGGCGCAGCCAGATCTCCTCGTGCAGGCTGCCCTGTAGGAAGGCTGTGCTAAAGTAAAGAGAG